TCGCACTCTCGCCTGCATTTCGCGCACTCAACACGCACGATCTCCGCAGACGGTTGCGCGCGCAGCCGGCAAATCGCACTCTCGCCTGCATTTCGCGCACTCGACGCGCACGATCTCCGCAGAGGGTTGCGCGCGCAGCCGGCAAATCGCACTCTCGCCTGCATTTCGCGCACTCGACGCGCACGATCTCCGCAGAGGGTTGCGCGCGGACCGGACAAATCGCACTCTCGCCTGCATTTCGCGCACTCGACACGCACGATCTCCGCAGAGGGTTGCACTTTCGGTTGACGCTGTTCGTCCCGCCCTCCGCCTTTAAGAGAGAATTTATAAAGTGGGGAAATGTTTTTTCATTAGGACATCTCCCGTGCTAGTTTTCCATACTCACACTTGCCTACTCATTGCATGAGTCATTGCATGCTTGCATACTCACGCTTGCATATCGATCATGCTTGCATACTTACACTTGCATACTTTGACACTGGCATACTTCGCACTTGGATGCTTTCGCTCTTCCAGTGTGTGTGTGTAAGTGCGAGTGTCGAAGTGTAAGTGTCGAAGTGTCAGTGTTCAAAGGATTTTCCGGAAGAACCCTTCGCAATGCTTTCGGGAAATATGGTATATATAGGTTTCTTGAAAATCCCTGATCATAACAGAGCGTCCCTGAGGCCGCCTCTTTGTCCTTTTTGTTTACCCCACAAATCATTTGAGGGCGTCCCTTAGAGTTTTTAACATGTGGATGGTTTACATGTTCAAGAGAAAATATGAGAAACTATTTCCTCGGGGAATAGACCACAAGCATAGGAACACCATGAAACACATAAGAAAAACAACTGAAAAATAACATAGCATTTTCTACGTATTTCCAGCTACTTCTCGCTATGTCTAGCTAAATTCTACTTGATGTCTACTTAAGTTCTATAAGCAACTTATGTTATAAGATGTTATAAGTGAAGTTCGCTTGATGTGCCTCAGCTAGCCTCAAGTGCCAAAACATACAGAAAATACGCTCCGAGCGTTAATGGCCTCTGAAGGAGGTGTATAAGAATGGGGAGTGTCATCGCTCTACGAAAGAGCGGTCTGGTCAAACATTTCCAGGTTAGTAGATGAGGGTGCTTTATTTACCAATTATTGAAGTCAAAATCTTTGCCAATGATGGTCAGTTCGTCTTGTTGACAAATGTCCCTGAAATCTGAGTCACCTCCCAAGAGACAGCTGAAACAGTCCCCTCCCCAGGCCCCAGTCAGAAAAACAAGTTGTGAATGTGCACCCGCACATTGCCGACTCGTCAGGTTCGCAAGCATGAAAACCATGCACCTTTTCCACTGGTGCCTCCTTTGGCACAAACCGCCCTTGGAAGATCGGGTGGGCTTCGTCATGACGCCATGAGCACCGGCTGCGCTGGCCGCGAAAAGGGCGCGGCATTCCTCGAGATCCTTTCGTTTGTTTGAAGCACACCTCGTGCGGTGTTTCAAGTTGGTTGCTACCATCAAACTGGTAGCGGAGCCCACGGGCTCGAGCTCCATACGCTACCTGCGCCGACACTTCGAGATCGCCTCCCTCGATTACAAGATCGATGGCTACATCCTCGACGAGCACGACAGATGCTGCCAAGGACAGCTGGGTCCCTCAGTTCTCCAACAGGCCTGCCGACTACCGAGAATGGCGGGCAAGGATCCACCTGTACCAAAAGAAGATGGTGATTCAGAAAAAGCCCTTGGAAGGTGTGATCAACATCGTCACCAACCTCACCGGCATCGCTTGGAAGCAGATCGAACCGATCGCTGAGTCCATCAGCGATGACAAGGACAAAGGCTTCAATCGTCTCATCGAAGCATTGGATCGTACGTTCAAGTACGATGAAAGTGTGGAACAACCACGAGCTTTCGAGAAGTTCTTCTACTCCCTCAGCCGACGAGGAGAACAAACGTTGATGTCCTACTGCACGGAACACCGTGAGTGTTTGCGAGAAGTGGAGAAACACAACATCCGCTTGCCAAAAGAAGTCACTGGCTGGGTCCTCCTTCGACGAAGTGGACTGACCCAGGAACAGAAACAATTGGTTCAGTCACAATGTGGCCCAACCCTTGAAGAGGACAAGGTGGAACAAGCCATGTACTACCTGTTCGGCCAGGACTACCGTGGCAGAGTTGGCTACAGCCATCTTCAAAGGCCCACTGGCCGTGGAAAAGGAAACAGCCGCTGGAAGAAACCTCAGACAGCATGCACTGCCTATGACCTCCCGGAAAGCTATGACGACCAGACCGAGGAGCTCTACGAGGCAGCTGAGGATGAAGAGTATGACGGTGCCTACTATGAGGACGATCCTATGGAAGAGGAAGGTCTC